CCTGCAACTAAAACCTCTCCAGCGCATCATCAAAGATCTACAACCTGTCCTGAAGGACGATCCCTCACTCTCACAGATCTTGGGAGACAGGCCAGTCCTCACTTACAGACAGCCCCCAACCTGAAGCAAATACTCACTAGTAACTACACACCAAACAACAAACAAACTAGCCCAGGAACCAATCCTTGCAACAAAGCCCGTTGCCAACTCTGTCCACATATCTATTCGAGGGACACCATCATAGGACCTAATCACATTAGCCACACCATCAGAGGCTCGTTCACCTGCACATCTACCAATGTGATATATGCCATCATGTGCCAGCAATGCTCCTCTGCCATGTACATTGGCCAAACCAGACAATCTCCAGCAAAAGAATAAATGGACACAAATCAGACGTCAAGGATTATAACATTCAAAAGCCAGTCAGAGAACATTTCAATCTCCCTGGACACTCAATTACAGACCTAAAAGTTGCAATTATTCAACAAAAAAGCTTCCAGAACAGACTCCAATGAGAAACAGCAGAACTGGAATTAATCTGCAAATTGGACACCATTAAATTAGGCTTGAATAAACGCTGGGAGTGGATGAGTCATTACATTAACTAAAAACTATTTCACCATGCTAATTTCTCCCCTACTGTTACTCACACTGTTTGAATGGGCCATCCTGATTATCACTACAAAAGTTTTTTTTCTCCTGCTGATAACAGCCCACCTTAATTGTTTGATCTCGTTAAGAGTTGGTATGGCAACCCCCATTTTTTCACGCTCTCTGTGTATATATATAGATATATCCATACCTTCCTACTGTATTTTCCACTGCATGCATCTGATGAAGTGGGCTTTAGCCCACGAAAGCTTATGTTCAAATAAATTTGTTAGTCTCTAAGGTGCCACAAGTACTCCTTGTTCTTTCTGCAGTATATTTACTGTGAACATTATAACTATTCTGTCTTGCTTTCCTGTCCAAGGATTGTATGGTTTTCAGTTAGCCTAGAGTTTACATTAAATAAAATTATATTAACACAAAACAAATAAACTTATTTGAGCTCCTGAGTCAATTAAGAGCAGAACAATATGTAGACTGCAAAGCACGGTGCACGTCTGTGGCAGAGTATAGCGTAATTCTGGGAATTCCTAACACAGAATGCACATAAACCTTGTTTAGTTTGTAATTATCTTAATTTTTCTGTACACTTACTGACTTGCCACATCAGGGCAAGTCATCAACTGCCTTTGTAAGTAGTTGTAATAGACACTTACTGTACAAAAAGAGCAAGGTCTCAGGAAGAAAGCAGCTAAAGTTTTGAATGAAGTTGCAATTCTTCACACATCAGTGACTCACTTTATACTTAAGGTGCCACGTTTTTGGCACAGGTATTTTTATTAAAAGTCATGGACAGGATGTGGGCAATAAATAATAAATCCCAGATTCATTGAAACCGAAGCTGAAGCCCGAGCCCCGCTGCCTGGGGCTGAAGCTGAAGACCAAGCCCCACTGCCCAGGGCTGAATTATTGGAATATTCAAGATGTCATGGAGGTCTCATAAAATCATGGAAACTGTGACAGATTCATAACCTTATTTATACTGTTCCTTAGGTTTGTATGGTGCTTTACAGACAAGACATTGTCCCTACTTCTGACTGTGTCAGGAACTCTCAAACAATGTTTATTATCTGAACACCAGACAGTAAATGCGAAACACTGAACTCCTACAGCAGATTTCACAACCAGGCTTCCCCCTGCACAGCCTCCAAAATAATCATAGAATCATAGAACATCAGGGTTGGAAGGGACCTCAAGAGGCCATCTAGTCCAACCCCCTGCTCAAAGCAGGACCAATCCCCAACTAAATCATTCCAGCCAGTGCTTTGGCAAGCCTGGCCTTAAAAATATCTAAGGAAGGAGATTCCACCACCACCCTAGGTAACGCATTCCAGTGTTTCACCACCCTCCTAGTAAAACGTTTTTCCTAATATCCAACCTAAACCTCCCCCACTGCAACTTGAGACTATTACTCCTTGTTCTGTCATCTGCTACCACTGAGAGCCATCCTCTCTAGAGCCATCCTCTCTACCAGTCTAGAGCCATCCTCTTTGGAACCCCTTTCAGGTAGTTGAAAGCAGCTATCAAATCCCCCCTCACTCTTCTCTTCCGCAGATTAAACAATCCCAGTTCTCTCCGCCTCTCCTCATAAGTCATGTGTTCCAGTCCCCTAATCATTTTTGTTGCCCTCCGCTGGACTCTTTCCAATTTTCCCACATCCTTCTTGTAGTGTGGGGCCCAAAACTAGACACAGTACTCCAGATGAGGCCTCACCAATGTTGAATAGAGGGGAACGATCACGTCCCTTGATCTGCTGGCAATGCCCCTACATATACATCCCAAAATGCCACTGGCCTTCTTGGCAACAAGAGCACACTGTTGACTCATATCCAGCTTCTCGTCCACTGTAACCCCTAGGTCCTTTTCTGCAGAACTGCTGCCGAGCCATTCGGTCCCTAGTCTGTAGTAGTGCATGGGATTCTTCCGTCCTAAGTGCAGGACTCTGCACTTGTCCTTGTTGAACCTCATCACATTTCTTTTGGCCCAATCCTCCAATTTGTCTAGGGCCCTCTGTATCCTATCCCTACCCTCCAGCGTATCTACCTCTCCTCCCAGTTTAGTGTCATCTGCAAACTTGCTGAGAGTGCAATCCACACCATCCTCCAGATCATTAATGAAGATATTGAACAAAACTGGCCCCAGGACCGACCCTTGGGGCACTCCACTTGATACCGGCTGCCAACTAGACATGGAGCCATTGATCACTACCTGTTGAGCCCGACAATCTAGCCAACTTTCTATCCACCTTATAGTCCATTCATCCAGCCCATACTAACTTGCTGGCAAGAATTCTGTGGGAGACCGTGTCAAAAGCTTTGCTAAAGTCAAGGAACAACACGTCCACCGCTTTCCCCTCATCCACAGAGCCAGTTATCTCGTCATAGAAGGCAATTAGATTAGTCAGGCATGACTTTCCCTTGGTGAATCCATGCTGACTGTTCCTGATCACTTTCCTCTCCTCTAAGTGCTTCAGAATTGATTCCTTGATGACCTGCTCCATGATTTTTCCAGGGACTGAGGTGAGGCTGACTGGCCTGTAGTTCCCAGGATCCTCCTTCTTCCCTTTTTTAAAGATGGGCACTAGATTAGCCTTTTTCCATAAGCCTTCATCCAACCCCTCAGTTATAATAATGGGCCAAATCCTGCTGTCCTCAATACTTCATCAGGCTAACATCTCATCAATGTTAATAGGATATTTGCTTAAGCAGAATTTGAGCCAATAGTAATATTGTACTTGTAGCATCTTTACTCCCAGTATCTCAAAGTGATATATAAATACGAATTAAGTGGCACACCATTCTTTGAAGGTAGGTATATATAACAACAACTTAAAGAAGCTATTGTAAAGCAGTGTCAGATAACTATTTTAGATCTCTTTATGATGGATAAAGATGAATAGATAACTAGACAGCAAATTGGTGGCTTCCAAGGGACCAATGATCATGAAATTCATGGCCAAAGAGAGGACAAATCCCAACCAGTCATATATATATGTGGAGGTTCCGAAGGGCTAATTAAGTTTAATGATTAAAAGCCCATCCTGGTTAAGAGAGGAAGTGAAGGTAATGATTAAAAATAATATATACATAAACATATTTGAAAAGGGGAAATAAACAGAAAGCAATATAAAATTGAAAGTTATGGAGGTATAGAACATTGATGACGGAAGCTAAAGACCTCACAGAAAAATCCATACCTGGCAGGTCTAAGGACAACAAGCAATTTTTAAGTGTATTAGGAACAAGTGAAATCCTAATAATGACACAGGACCACTACTAGATGGAGATGGTAGAATTGTTTATAATGATGCAGCACAGGTTGAAGTGTTCAAATAATATTTCTGTTCTGTATTTGGAAAGAAGCAGAATGATGTACTTACATTACACATAAGGATGATGAACTAATTTTCCAGTATATTAATAACTCAGGAGGATGTTAAACAATATCTACTTCAGATAAATATTTTTAAATCCGCAGGCCCAGATAACTTCCATCTATGACCCCTAAAAGAACTGATGGATGAGATCTCTGGCTTGCTGATGTTAATTTTCAGTAAATCCTGGAATACTGAAGACAACTGGAAGAGTACTCAAGATGGGCCAATATTCAAAGAGGCCAAGAAAGGGAAGCTATATTCTGGAAAACAGTGACTCTGAAAAGGATTTAGGAATCATACTGGACAAACAACTGAACATGAGCTTCCTGTGCAACGCTGTGGAAGAGGGCTAATGTGATTCTTGTTTAGATAAAGTGAAGTAGGGAGGTAATTTTACCTCTGTATGCAGCATTACTGAGATTTATTCTGGAACACTGCATCCAGTACTGCTGTTCCCATTTTTAAAAGGATGTTGTAATTTGGAGAGTGCAGAGAAGAGCCACAAAAATTATTTGAGGGCTGGAGAAAATATCTTTAAAAGAGAGACTTAAGGAGCAATTTGTTTGCTAATCAACAAAAAATATCAAGAGGTGAATTAACTATATTGTAAAAATAGCTGCACAAGGAGAAAATAAAAGGCACTAAAAGCTCTTTAATCTATTGGAGAAAGGCAGAACAAGCACCAATGGTTGGAAGTTACAGCCAGACAAATTAAAATTACAAAAAAAGAAAAGAAAAGAAAAAAATTTTTTTTGGACAGAGAGAATGATTAACTAGATAGCCAGTGGAATAAACTACTAAGGGGAGAGGTAGATTCTCCCTCTCTTGATGTTTATAAATCGAGATTTAACATACCCAAGTTACTTGACTCAGTATAGGAGTATCTGGATGAAATTTTATGGCCTATGTTATATAGGTCAGACTAGATGATGTGTTGATCTCTTTCTGGCCTTAAAATCTATGAACTCATTATTTTATGAACATTCTAAACTCCCTTAAGTACTTCACTTACCTGAAAATTAGGCTGAAATACACAGCAGTCAACAGTACTATAATGTCCCCTAAGCATAGTTATCAGTTCTCCTGAGTAGATTGTATAAACAGCAATGGTGCTACCATATGGTACAAATGCAAATTCTGGATCACAGCCAGTAGAGATGGTGAATTTTAGTCCTTTTCTGCTTTCATTACAGACTTTCCCATAGTTCACCTGTAGGATGCAAGATTAAGCTGTTAGCTAGTATTATACAAAGCTAATTCTTGTGGATTAAATTATTAAAACAAATTTAAAATTAAGAGTTAAATTCTCAATAAAACAATGGTTATGCAAGCACCTTGCTACTTTGGAATTTAACACAACTGTGAGCTTCCCAAATGCAAACACCTTATTTTTGGGTTCCAAAGTTAATGAAAACAGCATAATGAATAGGGTAAATTGTACTGAGTGGAAGATATGAAACAATGTACTCTATTTGAAGTATAAGAGATGTCATTTCTTCTCATTCTGAACAGGTGAATGAGTTTCAACTGGGATTGATAGGTGATATGTGTTGGGCAGGAGGTGGCCCAAGATCACAAGTATGAAAGGGTAGATTAGTTATGCTGATGGCATTTTCTGGTTGGTAAGTGGAAGATGGTTACTAGTAAGAGCATTCGTGGGATGGTATAATGGCCAGTATTAAGACAGTTTGTGAACTTTAAATCTGGCTTTCTGGCTTTCAAACATAACATAATTTCTTCCAAAGGCCAACATCTCAGTAAGGCTATTTTACATTCAAGTATATGTCTTTTTATCCATAACTATCTCAATTATTTTTTGTTTGGGAATTTCTTATAGTTGTTTAAATTTTTGATTAACTCTCATGATGGCAATATATCAAATATTTCAAAAATAAGTCAAGTAAATGGATTTCTCTCTGACATTATAATTTGTTAGTGATTTAAAACCCAATGTTGCAATTTTAAATTAATGCATCCAGGCTCTTCGGTGTCATTGCCAATTGTAAAATCAGTTCTCTGCAAAATCACTGCTGAAAAAAAGTTCTGCACAGGCCTTCTGATACAAAACCAGTTACTTTCCGTGTGGAATTTACAAGTAATTGCTTGCACATTCCTTGAACCAGAACTATTTACCTTCCAGAAATTAAAAGCTCCACCAAGTGTGTCTGTAGACACTTCTGAAGTTGTTGAACCAGAACCATGTGGCTTATGAAGTTAATAGATTCAGACTATTCCATGGAAGATTATATATTCTGCAAGAACTATGAAGAAGTTTCTCAGGACATCAAACATATGACAGAGCTCTCAGAGATTTATATTTTCATAGTTAAATCAAAAATTTTCACTTAACCTTAAAAAACATTAATGAAAACAGCCATACAATTCTGGAATCTCAAACCAACCTATTCTACAGATGACAATATAAAGAAGATTGATTTTTTTTCCAAATGTGAAAATACTTTCCCCCTCCCCTCCATAGTCCTGTAACTCAAAAATACAAAACAAAAATCACACACAGATACACACAAAATAACTTCTCTAACCACATTTTCCCCAATGGTTCTTTTCTGGCCAGAATTCACATATGAGAATGTTAGGATATAGATATTCAGGCCTGTCTGTAAAGGCCTATACTCTAAGAATTTAGGTGTATTCTCATCACTTAGCTAGTTATAGAGGTATAAAAGAAAGAATCAAAACCACTGTCTGCCGGTGTAAGGTCCTTCTCTTACTGTGACAATCTGAGGCCCTGTGCTTCGGCTAAGATCTTTGGCTAAGCAGCAGAGGCAGCCATAAGCTGGGAAGCGAAGGGTCACATCCTCACATTTCAAACTAGTCACATTGAAATAAGGTGCTATTGGGCTGTTAGGAATACAATCCTGTCCTGATAATGCCTATCGCCTCCAGAGAAAGGGAAGTGCTTAGAAGATGTAAAAGGAAACTTAGTTTGATAGCATCCTGTCTTGCAAGAACTCACTTATCAATAGCTAGGATGTGAAATCCTCATTTCTTTCAGAGTAGCAGCCGTGTTAGTCTGTGTTCGCAAAAAGAAAAGGAGTACTTGTGGCACCTTAGAGACTAACAAATTTATTTGAGCATAAGCTTTCGTGAGCTACAGCTCACTTCATTGGTTTGCATCCGATGAAGTGAACTGTAGCTTACGAAAGCTTATGCTCAAATAAATTTGTTAGTCTCTAAGGTGCCACAAGTACTCCTCATTTCTTTGTTGTTCTATCACTGTAGTCCCCATTTCCCTATTGTCTGTATAATCTCTGTCTGGTTCTGTGATTGTTTCTGTCTGCCGTATAATTAATTTTGCTGGGTGTAAATTTTAAGGTGGTGGGATATAACTGGTTAAATAATCATGTTACAATATGTTAGGATTGGTTAGTTAAATTTCAGTAAAATGATTGGTTAAGGTATAGCTAAGCAAAACTCAAGTTTTACTATATAGTCTGCAGTCAATCAGGAAGTGGGTGTGTGTGTGTGTTTGGGGGGAATGGGAACAGGGATGGGGGTCGGGAAATTGGAATCATGTTTTGCTAGAGGGGGAAATGGGAACATGGACACAGGTAAGGCTCTGTGGTGTCAGAGCTGGGAAGGGGGACACTAAGGAAGGAAACTGGAATCATGCTTGCTGGAAGTTCACCCCAATAAATATCGAATTGTTTGCACCTTTGGACTTCGTGTATTGTTGCTCTCTATTCATGTGAGAAGGACCAGGGAAGTAAGTGGGTGAAGGAATAAGCCCCCAACAGAGAAATTTCAGGTTAAAAAAAATATTTCCACACTCATGGAAATGAGAGGGGAGTTGAAATCTAACTTGAATAACGAAAACATGGTCACATTCTTAACTATAATAAAGTAGCTACCATTGCTCCATAATGCAGAAGTTGAGAGCGTGGGGAAGCTAGATAAGTTAAGTCAGTGTGTGCATGGAAGCAGCCATTCGAGCCCAGCAGGCTCAGATTAAAAGGAGCTGCAGGGCCTTTGCAGGTAGCTTGCAGCTGGGACCAGAGGGACAATGAAAGGTGCTCCTCTGTAGTCCATGGAGTTCGACTGGCTACATTTGCATAAGCTGAGAGGGAGAGGACTTGAGAACTTTAACCTTAAGGCAGAGACCTTTGTGGGAAGTGGGGGGGCAGCTCCCTCCCCGCCCCCAGCTCTGCTCCGGCCCTGACCGCAGCCATGTCCCTGGGTCCTGGCCCAATCCCCAGCCTTGGCGTGGTTCCACTCCTGGCCCTGACCCCAGCCTCAGCCACACGTGGGGCTGGGAGTGGAGCCACATCTGGCTGCGGGCTGGCTACCAGTCCCCACCGCAGATCGGCTATGGCTCCTGTCATAAATATAAAGGGAAGGGTAAACCCCTTTGAAATCCCTCCTGGCCAGGGGAAAGCTCCTCTCACCTGTAAAGGGTTAAGAAGCTAAAGGTAACCTCGCTGGCACCTGACCAAAATGACCAATGAGGAGACAAGATACTTTCAAAAGCTGGGAGGAGGGAGAGAAACAAAGGGTCTGTGTGTCTGCCTATATTCTGTCTTTGCCGGGGATAGACCAGGAATGCAGTCTTAGAACTTTTAGTAAGTAATCTAGCTAGGTACGTGTTGGATTATGATTTCTTTAAATGGCTGAGAAAAGAACTGTGCTGAATAGAATAACTATTTCTGTCTGTGTATCTTTTTTGTAACTTAAGGTTTTGCCTAGAGGGGTTCTCTATGTTTTTGAATCTAATTACCCTGTAAGGTATCTACCATCCTGATTTTACAGGGGGGATTTCTTTATTTCTATTTACTTCTATTTTTATTGAAAGTCTTCTTGTAAGAAAACTGAATGCTTTTTCATTGTTCTCAGATCCAAGGGTTTGGGTCTGTGGTCACCTATGCAAATTGGTGAGGCTTTTTATTCAACATTTCCCAGGAAAGGGGGGGTGCAAGTGTTGGGAGGATTGTTCATTGTTCTTAAGATCCAAGGGTCTGGGTCTGTAGTCACCTAGGCAAATTGGTGAGGCTTTTTACCAAACCTTGTCCAGGAAGTGGGGTGCAAGGTTTTGGAAAGTATTTTGGGGGGAAAGACGCGTCCAAACAGCTCTTCCCCAGTAACCAGTATTAGTTTGGTGGTGGTAGAGGCCAATTCAAGGACAAAGGGTGGAATATTTTGTACCTTGGGGAAGTTTTGACCTACGCTGGTAAAGATAAGCTTAGGAGGTTTTTCATGCAGGTCCCACATCTGTACCCTAGAGTTCAGAGTGGGGGAGGAACCTTGACAGCTCCGTTCCTGCCACCGCCCCCAACCACGGCTCTGCTCTCAGCCCCTCCCCCAGCTGCGGCCCCAGCCTCAGCCCCTTTACCCCTGTCTGCATGGCCCCCCAGCCTGAGTCGTGGTCCTGCTCATAGCCCAGCTCCACGGGGAAGGTCGACAGGGTAAGGGGGGCATGACCCTCAGCACCAACAGTAATCAAGGGTTAAGGCAGAAACAACCCAACAGCCCACCTCGTCATTCCCATGCATGTACACAGAAAGAGGGCTGCAAATCCTAAGTGGAAATATGTACTAATACCTACAAACTTGTGTATAAGAAAGGGCACTATGGGATAGCAGGTGGACACCATCAAGTTCTGCCTTGGAAGAAGCAGGAAATGAGGTGGTCAGTGCCACTCTGCCTTTTATTCCCTCAGATGGGAGAGCATGAAATCATGCAGGGCACAGATGCAGCCCCCAAAGGCACTGCTGGTCAAAAATTCTGATCTTGTGCACATGAGGTGCATGCACACCGTAAGTGGGATCCACACAAAGAATGGCAGAAGTGGTAAACTTTGCTTCTGCTTTTGTAATCAAAATCCCTATTCAAGAGAGCAAATACTTAGATATTCTCTGTTTTTGCATCCACCCATTTCTTTCTCAGTAAGATGGTAACCTAGTTCTATAGGCCAAACTCTCCTTGCCAACTTAAAAGGGATAAATATTTACTCAAACTCCACAGTAATTCTTGTGGGGTGCTGTGAGGAAATGCCTCTCACAACCTGCTCCATAACAAAATCTACGAACTGTCGAAAGCCAAAATTCACCCTCTTTCTGGAATATTGACAGTATTATCAAATAAGTTTCAGCTCTAAGCCTTCTCCTTAGTCATCGCTACGCCCAGGGCTCCTCAGTCCACTCTCTTTATATCCACTCTCTGGAGAGCCACTCCCACCTCCCTTTGGGGTATGTCTTCACAGCAGAGTTAACACTTGGGATCTTAACTCAGGTGTTGCCCCTCACCCCCTTCCCATCCATGAACAAAACCTTCTCATCTGAGTTTAGTGGTGCTTTCAGTCTGGGCTATATCACTTATATGGGGCTGTAGGCTAAAACTTGAATGAGGCTTTCATTTGGGCTGGTAACATTACCCATTTTACAATGAGGATGCAGACTAAACCACCCATCCCGCAATTCCCCACCATGTGCCCTGAAAAACAGACAAAGTTTTCCCACAATTCATTGGGAAAGAATCATAAGCAGGTCATCTTACGGTAGCACAAAGAAGCATGGGATATGCCCCTGGAAGTCTCAGCAACCCACATGCGTAAATGTAGCACGAAGGGGTAGCACCAGTAACTCAGGTATGACTTTGCAGTGTGGCTGCCCACACCCAGGCTAACCCAGATACTCAGAATCAGGTGCCTATCAATGAATGCTGGTGCTGAATTAATGCTGCAGTGAAGACATACCCTTAGAATATCTAGGTGGGGTACTGAGCCTTTTTGCATCAGAAGGAACCCACTAATCTCTTCCCAGCAAGATCAACCCCTGCCAAAAGGAAAATGCTGCCAGATTTTTACGCTCATGTTAGGGCTTATCCTGTTCCCACTGACAGGAGTTTTTTGTCATTTATTTGAATGGGAGCAGGATTTGGCCCTCAGTTTGTACTTTTGGGTAGGGATTGCCATTTATACTTATCTAAGTTCTTAATGAAACGTTTTTAGAGTGTTCCGAAACTTTAATTTTATATCACTAGAGCTGTATTTTCATTGGGACTGTATATCTAATATTCTCTAGGGAGCAGGTGCAGCAGCAGCAGTTTAAAGCAGGCACGAGAGCACTGGGGGTAGGGAGACTAGAGAGATGAAGGAATATAATCTGTATTCCTACTGAAAGGTTGTTGTGATCTGTGACACCAGGCATGAGTTGTCCCTACTGGATGACGCCGCTGCCTTGGTGCAATCTGCATGAAGGTGTCCTTTTGCTTGTAGGGGGGTGGAGATGGCCTTCAGGAATTACCTAAAAAGGCCATTCAGGATCCTCTGTGGTTGGAACCAATGAGAAGTGGCCCTCCAGTGGCTAAAAGGGTTGGGAGGGAGCACGTAGAAAACAGACTGCATAAAGAGGGCTAGATGCAGCCTACTTCTCTCAGCGGGTCTCAAACTTATTTGGAAAGAGCTATACCTACTGACAAGAGATTAATTCAGTCTCCATACTTATTCAGTTTGTGGTATGGACACCCACCCAGTGAAAAGTAGACTGAGAACCAAATTTGTTTCAGACAAGCTGCCAACAGATGTTAGTGCTTTCTGGTTACTGCCAGCGTGACCTGGATTTGAGCTACTGTCACAAATGACTGGTTTTATAGTCTCATTTTCAAATGGTGGGCCATGCAGGCCTCTTAGTTACTAATTTTCACTTGACAAAATAATAGAAAATAAATTATTTTCATTAAAAATACATAGATCAACTGAGATTACGCAGCAGCGTCCAGCACGAGATTTACTTCCAAAGATAAATTATGTATCATAACTGGACCACTGGTCTATTAGTCTCTTAAAAGTAACCAAGAAATGCAACTGAAGGTCCTTTAAAAACCTTACCAATGTGTTTTCCCCACTGGAACTATTCCAGAGTCTCATCCGGTCATCTGTACCAATAGTCAGAAGATGAAGCCCATCACTTGTAAAGCATAAGCCATTAACTCTTCCATTATGAGCAGTGTTTGCTGTCAGGAAAATATGAGCCTGTTCAGTTATTTAGGGAAGATTTATTATTTTATTTTGTACACCTGTAGTACTGAATGCACTATTTAAATATTCAAACAACTTTCCACTCAAGAATATATAAATGTTTATTTGAAAGCAACAAAGGTTCTTATAAAATATATATTGTAAAACCTTTGGATTATGATGCCAAGTGATGAAGTTCCTTCTATGTTAGGTTCTATATGGTGAATGTATTATGTGCGTTTGAAAGTACTTCATTCAAAATGAGAGTAAACATACAAAAGTTTCAATGCCCTTTCCACTTTCTGCAGATGATATGATGCTCAGATGACATTACAGTAACATCAAAAATAGAGCAAAGTGCTAATGACTACCTCCAAAAAGGACCCAATCCTGAACTCTGTGTCTTTGGCAAAACATTGACTGACTTTAATGGTTATTTTGGATGCAGAAATAATGCAGGATCTGACACTATTTTAAAGGTTTACTAGTGTTTCTGTAGACAGCTTTTCCTCCGTCTATAATAAGAATATATTTCTCTTTTGCAGCATAAAATATAAGCTCTTTGTGAACATGATGTGAAAGCTATTTGTATAATGATCTGTTCTGTAGCACCCCACTACAAAGACTGTTTACATCTACATTTTTTACATATGTAAAGAAGTCTTTTGCACACTTAGTCCCCTCCCCCAAGTTCGTAATTTGGAGCTTCCATTTTAGTTTGTTAAAACTGCTTTACCTGCTTTGCAAAATTTGTTGAAGAAATTAATGAGCTAAGTTTATTTTACAGTTCTGATCTAGTATTTCAAATGTCCCTCTTCCATTGTTGACAATTGTTCCTCAGTTCCTATTTTAAAAACACCACAAACCTAACAGTTCTCATGAAACTATATATACACACACACTTCAAAATTTGTCCTTCCAGAGAGAAAAAAATAATCAAGTGGGGAGCACAGGAATTGTGTGTTTAAAAATCTCTAACATACAACAGTCATCCAAGAGAACAGATTCCCCTTCCCACCCCTGTCTTTGGCATTTCTAAAGCACCTCTCTGAGTTATTGATCTTTGTACTTTCATTAATCCATTTTAAGACAACATACACAGAAGTCCATTTGATGGGACCCAAAAGTTGTAAGCTAAATTAAAAAGAAATTCTTAGTTCTCCCAGTATGTTGTCATTTCAATAACTTTGAGTGTCAATTACATTTTTAATTCTCAAAACCAAACATTCATATTCCATATATGCAACAGAGAACATGACACAGCACAAAGCTAAACCACAGCCTACAAAACAAACTCAATGTTGTTTTATGTATAAATCCACCATCAGTATTTTCCTGAATAAAACTCTGATCCTACATGATTAACTTTACACACTGTAATTAGTCCAATTTATGGGACTGCTCACAGTGCTTAAATTTAGGCACGAGTTAATCTTTTCAGGATTAGGATTAGACACAGTCTTTTACTTTGTCCGTTTTAAAATCAAACACCCTCTTTCGTTTCAGAAGATGCTTTATGAGATCTAAAGTTTGGTTTTGTTTGTCCAGTGTATGGAACTTGGATCCAGAATTAATCCAAATTAATTTCTGAACTACGATTTAAAGTACAGTGCTGTTCCTTTAATTTAGTTTGCTTCCCAAGTGCAGAAATTGTGTTTAGCTGCATTCGTATAAAATGTTAATAATGTTAATGTTTTAACCAGGGCATATTTAGTATATTCCAGGACCTATCCACCTTTGTTAGTATTCAAGTAATAGCATAATTTAGCATTAAGCAAAGTTAAAATTAAATTTTGAATTTTATAACTAACCTAATACATATATATGTCTTGCTTACTATAGATGAAGCTATCTAATAATAGAGAGCTCGTTAATCTAGAAGACCAAAGCATAACAAAATCCAGTGGCTGGAACTTGAAGCTAGACAGACAAACTGGAAATATGCACACATTGTTTAACAGTAAGGGTAATTAACCACTGGAACAACTTATCAAGGGGTGTGGTCAATTCTCCATTATTTGAAAACTTTAAATTCCCATTGACTTCAAACAGAGCCAAGGTTTTATCAGTATGCCTTTTAAAAAGATATGCTCTAGTTCAGCCACAAGTTACTGGGTTTAATGCAGGAGTTACCAGGTGAAATTCTATGTCTGTGTTATATAAGACATCATACTAGATGATCACAATGGTCATTTCTTCCATTAAAAACTGTGATGGTATGAAATTCAAGAATGCTTCTAGGTAAAGATGTAGCGTACCACCACCATCATATTTCCTTTATAAATATATTCTTTATTACCTGCTTCAGAAGATGCTTTTGACTTCTCCCCATTGTACTGATCAAGAGTAATCAGACATCCAGATGCTCTCCTCACATCCCAGAGTTTTACTCTACTGTCAGCACTAAGAAAAATAAATTGTATGGATTTATTGATTAGAGAAACTGCCTCCAAACATCCCCACCTTTTTCTGTCATGGGTCATAGAATCATAGAATATAAGGGTTGGAAGGGACCCCAGAAGGTCATCTAGTCCAACCCCCTGCTCAAAGCAGGACCAATTCCCAGTTAAATCATCCCAGCCAGGGCTTTGTCAAGCCTGACCTTAAAAACCTCTAAGGAAGGAGATTCTACCACCTCCCTAGGTAACGCATTCCAGTGTTTCACCACCCTCTTAGTGAAAAAGTTTTTTCCTAATATCCAATCTAAACCTCCCCCACTGCAACTTGAGACCATTACTCCTCGTTCTGTCATCTGCTACCATTGAGAACAGTCTAGAGCCATCCTCTTTGGAACTACCTCTCAGGTAGTTAAAGCAGCTATCAAATCCCCCCTCATTCTTCTCTTCTGCAGGCGAAACTTTTACTTTGGCTGGCTGTATTTCAAGGAATCCCTGTTGAGGTTACAGGGACAAACCATCCCGATGAGTCGAAAGAATAGTAAATATGGCAGGCGACCAGCTTGGCTTAATGGTGAAATCTTAGCGGATCTTAAAACATAAAAAAGAAGCTTACAAGAAGTGGAAGGTTGGACATATGACCAGGGAAGAGTATAAAAATATTGCTCGGGCATGTAGGAATGTTATCAGGAGGGCCAAATCGCACCTGGAGCTGCAGCTAGCCAGAGATGTCAAGAGTAACAAGAAGGGTTTCTTCAGGTATGTTGGCAACAAGAAGAAAGCCAAGGAATGTGTGGGCCCCTTACTGAATGAGGGAGGCAAACTAGTGACAGAGGATGTGGAAAAAGCTAATGTACTCAATGCTTTTTTTGCCTCTGTTTTCACTAACAAGGTCAGCTCCCAGACTGCTACGCTGGGCATCACAAAATGGGGAAGAGATGGACAGCCCTCTGTGGAGATAGAGGTGGTTAGGGACTATTTAGAAAAGCTGGACGTGCACAAGTCCATGGGGCCGGACGAGTTGCATCCGAGAGTGCTGAAGGAACTGGCGGCTGTGATTGCAGAGCCATTGGCCATTATCTTTGAAAACTCATGGCGAACCGGGGAAGTCCCGGATGACTGGAAAAAGGCTAATGTAGTGCCAATCTTTAAAAAAAGGGAAGAAGGAGGATCCTGGGAACTACAGGCCAGTCAGCCTCACTTCAGTCCCTGGAAAAATCATGGAGCAGGTCCTCAAAGAATCAATCCTGAAGCACTTGCATGAGAGGAAAGTGATCAGGAGCAGTCAGCATGGATTCACCAAGGGAAGGTCATGTCTGACTAATCTAATCGCCTTCTATGATGAGATTACTGGTTCTGTGGATGAAGGGAAAGCAGTGGATGTATTGTTTCTTGACTTTAGCAAAGCTTTTGACACTGTCTCCCACAGTATTCTTGTCAGCAAGTTAAGGAAGTATGGGCTGGATGAATGCACTACAAGGTGGGTAGAAAGCTGGCTAGATTGTCGGGCTCAACGGGTAGTGATCAATGGCTCCATGTCTAGTTGGCAGCCGGTATCAAGTGGAGTGCCCCAAGGGTCGGTCCTGGGGCCGGTTTTGTTCAATATCTTCATAAATGATCTGGAGGATGGTGTGGATTGCACTCTCAGCAAATTTGCGGATGATACTAAACTGGGAGGAGTGGTAGATACGCTGGAGGGGAGGGATAGGATACAGAAGGACCTAGACAAATTGGAGGATTGGGCCAAAAGAAATCTGATGAGGTTCAATAAGGATAAGTGCAGGGTCCTGCACTTAGGACGGAAGAACCCAATGCACAGCTACAGACTAGGGACCGAATGGCTCGGCAGCAGTTCTGCGGAAAAGGACCTAGGGGTGACAGTGGACGAGAAGCTGGATATGAGTCAGCAGTGTGCCCTTGTTGCCAAGAAGGCCAATGGCATTTTGGGATGTATAAGTAGGGGCATAGCGAGCAGATCGAGGGACGTGATCGTTCCCCTCTATTCGACATTGGTGAGGCCTCATCTGGAGTACTGTGTCCAGTTTTGGGCCCCACACTTCAAGAAGGATGTGGATAAATTGGAGAGAGTCCAGCGAAGGGCAACAAAAATGATTAGGGGTCTGGAACACATGAGTTATGAGGAGAGGCTGAGGGAGCTGGGATTGTTTAGCCTGCAGAAGAGAAGAATGAGGGGGGATTTGATAGCTGCTTTCAACTACCTGAAAGGGGGTTCCAAAGAGGATGGCTCTAGACTGTTCTCAATGGTATCAGATGACAGAACGAGGAGTAATGGTCTCAAGCTGCAGTGGGGGAGGTTTAGATTGGATATTAGGAAAAACTTTTTCACTAAGAGGGTGGTGAAACACTGGAATGCGTTACCTAGGGAGGTGGTAGAATCTCCTTCCTTAGAGGTTTTTAAGGTCAGGCTTGACAAAGCCCTGGCTGGGATGATTTAACTGGGAATTGGTCCTGCTTCGAGCAGGGGGTTGGACTAGATGACCTTCTGGGGTCCCTTCCAACCCTTATATTCTATGATTCTATGAAACAATCCCAGCTCCCTCAGCCTCTCCTCATAACTCATGTGTTCCAGACCCCGAATCATTTTGGTTGCTCTTCGCTGGACTCTCTCCAATTTATCCACATCCTTCTTGAAGTGTGGGGCCCAAAACTGGACACAGTACTCCAGATGAGGCCTCACCAATGTCGAATAGAGGGGAACGATCACGTCCCTCGATCTGCTCGCTATGCCCCTACTTATACATCCCAAAATGCCATTGGCCTTCTTGGCAACAAGGGCACACTGCTGACTCATATCCAGCTTCTCGTCCACTGTCACCCCTAGGTCCTTTTCCGCAGAACTGCTGCCGAGCCATTCGGTCCCTAGTCTGTAGCTGTGCATTGGGTTCTTCCGTCCTAAGTGCAGGACCCTGCACTTATCCTTATTGAACCTCATCACATTTCTTTTGGCCCAATCCTCCAATTTGTCTAGGTCCTTCTGTATCCTATCCCTCCCCTCCAGCGTATCTACCACTCCTCCCAGTTTAGTATCATCCGCAAATTTGCTGAGAGTGCAATCCACACCATCCTCCAGATCATTTAGGAAGATATTGAACAAAACCGGCCCCAGGACCGACCCTTGGGGCACTCCACTTGATACCGGGTCCAGTAGATGTTCCCATTTTGGGCTGCATTCTGCCCTGATTTACACCTTGTGATATCACATTCAAGCTAATGAGAATGCAGAGAGTGGACATTAAGGCAGACTTTGAGCTTCTTGCTCATCTACACAATGTTTGAAAAACTAGTACAATATTATTGTACTTGTTAATAATATTGTGTAAGTACAATAACAATAGAATGTGGTTGCAAAAATGCTAAGGAACAAGATACAAGTCTATCTAGTCCTTGGAGAAATGATATGCCCATGTAATTAAAAATAACAGCATAAAAGCAGGAAAAGATTAATTGTGTCCCTATTCTGTAAACAAGAAGATAGGTTATTTGCTTTGCTATTTTTGCCCCTTACTGTTTTCTGCTGCTAACGTTGCACACTGAATGTATGCTGAAAAGGCAGCAGTGCACCAACTGAAAGCAGCAGCTTTTCATTTTGCTTATGAATCAGTGGTATCAAGTATTTCCAACACATTTCTATTTCTGTGTAAAAATAGATTTGGATTAATAAAGGCAGCAGCATATTTTGCCTTCATCTGAGAATATAATACACACACACTTGTTCTGGAGGAGAGACCCCAAATTGTACCCACTTTATATAATGCATATTTATGGTGACACAAAGTCTACTTGATTTCACATACACACACACACAGAGCAAAAAAAGAAAAAGAAGGCGAACACCAAAATTTAACAATAAGAAAATGTTCTGCATTCCTGAGTGAATAAGATACAAAATGTTGGGGGCACTAATTCTCTCTGCAGCTCTTATAGATTGTTCATTCATTCATTCATTCAGGCTTTATCTTCCCTATTCTTGAAGACAGGTCATAAGTTTACAACAATCTGTCTCTGTCTGGATTCCTATAATTTCAAAAATAGTGTCCAGTCACACAAAAGTGAGTAGAGGGACACAGCCAAGAGTAGCTTGTCCATGATCTCAATGTAGTCAGCAGGGAAAACATGTTTTTTTAAAATGGAAATATTAAGCAAAAGACATAGCAGTGGGTATTTTCCTTAGGTTCACAACCTGACAATGCACAGCTGTACCATAACAGTATACTTCCAAGTTAGCCAAATTTTGGCTTTCTCCAATTTTTTTTTATTTCAGCTAAAATTAGGCAGCTAACAAAGTGTAAACACCTGTACCTTCACAGATTCCAGGTATACTGAATTATAGTGAAGACACCAAGAGCTACAGGTACCCAGCTACAGAAAATTCTCTTCCCAGCAGAGGTCTCTCTGAATGCTTTATGTCAAGCTCAGGGAATCTGGTTAAATGTGTTATTCACTTCTGGGTTCAGTACTGGTTGAATGTTAGCAAATCTGAGTAACTTCCCTGGGACTCAAACCTTTGCATGCATCTTAAGAGAGAATCTCTACCTGAAAACATATGTATTTAAAAGTATTCATTGTAGTCACTGAACAGCCTACAAGATTTGAGATATATCATGCACCACGAACAGAGGTGTAAAAAAAAAAAGGAAGAGGTAGAGCTTTCTTTCCCCTTCTTTAAACCTGTTGCTTACAGTAACCAAGTGCTGGTGACTGGCTCCCTTTGTGCTGGGTGTCTTACAACACGAGCACTGAGCAAATGCTTGTTTAAAAAGGCATAGCTTGCTGCATGCTTTGAAGGGGGTGAGATTCATGGTTAGCTCAATCTCCTGTGGGAAGCAGGTTCCATAACCACACATCCTTCACCAAGGATCCTCTGTCACAAATCCATGTTGAAACTTGAGCTCTGTGTGTCCCCGTAACAGCTGCTACACATTGATATTTAGATGTAGTAAGGAAGTCAGCAGGACATGGACTGCTTAAACACTTTGAACTCTAGGAATGAGATTCTTCAACAAGGGGTGAAGTTACCTTTAAAAAGCAACAGGAACCCATGAAGAGGCCTGAGATAGAACTCAGTTCACAACTAAATTTGGAAATTAACTCAAATTAACATTCAGAACATGACAGCTTTACCAGCTGAAATCTGATGGATCATACACCTTTTTTTCTCTTCTCTGAAAAGCTTTCCCACTTTTGCACCTATAATCAACCCCAGTTTTTCTACTGCAGCTAGAGAGTTCTTCACTATGTTCCTATAAAGCAGTATTCTTGAAGAAAGATGAAGATTCTCTCTCTGTCCTTTGTAACTGTATCCTGTGAGAAAGTCATCCTTAGCAGGTCATCCATCAAGGAACATACATAAATCATATCTTTGGTCTGATTTCTCAAGCCCCACATCTTCTCATTTGTCAATAGTGAACATCTAACTCTACCATTTGTTTTCTTCTCCCTCTTATCTCTGTGCCTTCTTCAAGCTACTTCTGCGTGTAACGCAGCAGCCAGGATTGAACCTGGGACCTCTGAAGCTTAGTGTATGAGCCTCTACTGTGTGAGCTAAAAGCCAGATGAGGTTGCAGCAGACTCCTTAATCTCTAAGTGGTCTAAAGTGCCACTAGCCGGGGACAGAGCCCCACACCCAGCAGGCCCGTGTTATATATGCATGGACAGATATTCCACTCCAAGTATCTATCAGTTTTCCAGATCACTTGTGATCTATAGTTGTGAACTATACTCATCCTTAGAAAGGAACCTGTTTTATTGCTGCAATCTGTCAGAGATGATATACTGTCTCCGTCATATTCTGTTTTTTCTGTTACAACACGAACTTGAGTCTGGAAAGTTGATTCAGTGCTATGGAGTATCCCTGGTAAATTACATACACCCAGCACCCCATACTTCCTGGTCATGTCCTTCCAGCTGTCAGCAGAAGCTTAAAGCTTTGCAACAAGCCTCTGACAAGCCTTGGGATATTCTTCCTCTTTTGAATTCGTTATGTCATGTCCAGGACCTTGATCAGTGAAATCTACAGAATCTAGTGTTTTTGTGAGGAACTGAAAACCTCTCTCTGCTTGTACTGTGTGAAAGCAGCACTGTCACTGGGTGAACTGCACCTCTGACCTCTCCTTTCACCCTCCACATCCCTTGCTATCTTCAGGTCTCAGGCCTCTAACCATCGCTTGTGATTCTCCCATTCTCAGACCAGATCCTGGGTAGCAGTCCCTTAGGACTAACACTGATTGCCTCAGCTGGTATGACTTAGCCTCAGACCCTCCAGGGCAATGTCAGCGATAATCAGAGGCTGTCACCGGGCAACTGGGTCTTAAAGGAGAGAGTCAGGGCCTAGCTTGCCCATGTCAGTTCTCTGAGAACTTACCAGGGAGTTACTGCTTGCCTCAGGTGACTGGTTAATGGTCAATCAGTAGAGAAGCACTCACACCCTATTAAAAATGAGTTCAGTCAGAGGGAGTGCTCTCAGGAGGAAGGTGCTTCTGGGGAGGAGAGGCTTGTAAGAGGAAGGCAAACCCAAAGGGAGACATCCCCTTAAACGGAACACGAGTATCCCAGGGGAAAGAACTGGGAGAGCTCCAGAAGAGAAAGTGTTCTCCAGATTGAGGGAGCAGCCGTACCCTGAAGGGAAGGGATCTGAGACTTTTCCAGGAGAAAAAGATGAGTGATCTGGGAGAAGGAGCCAGACACTGTTCCATGGGTGAAGGGAAAGCATAGCGAGAGGATCTTTCTTACAAGTCTTGCTGACACCAATGCTAGCTACAGTTGCTTCCAAGTAACAAGTCTCTTAAATTCTTGAATGCAGAGTTCAAAGGTACAATAGTCAGTCACCAGCGTTCTTAAAGCACTATAAACCACAATAATAGATAGTAGAAGTGCAAACCAAGCATAAAGAAATAAGAAAGAGACACACCCCACACTGTCTGCAGGCCCTTGTCCTGAACAGGGACCTGCAATACCCTTGCCCGAACAGTGAGATGGGAACTGACAGCAGTTCTGGAGTTTCATGAGCCGATGTTGGCTTCTGTTTCTGATACATCACCAAATCTATGCCTCTGACCAGGCTAAGGTGACCTTAGTTATCAGCCTGCTGACAGGAGACGCGTTAGTCTGTGGTAGAAGGCCATAGTCCAGTGCTGTCGAACTGGGATGCCTTTCTCCAATCAATGTCAACCATCTTCAATGACGCACACTGATTCTGAATATCAAGGGGACTAGCAGGGGCAAGACAGAGTGGCTCACTATGCAGTGCACTTCTGCTGCCTCACAGCAGATACAGAGTGGAACAAAGCAGCAAAACTGTACCAATTCTGGCGGTGGTTGAAGGAAGAAATCAAAGATGAACTGGTCTGAGATGTCTACAGGTCTAGACTTCTCTCTGGACTTTACCATCTGCATAGATAATTGGCTGGGAGAATAAAGAGACGAAAAGATGTCTGCATCCCTTGTATCCGTGTGCCATGACCTCATCTTCTGTATCACTGGCCAAACCCATGCCTCTTATATATGCTATCCATGCACAAACTCAACCTATAATCTTAGGATATAGCTACACTATGGCTAGAACAGCTCTCTAGCATAGATGCAGCTTTCACCAAAGGAGGCGTTTTTCTGCCAATTTAAGACTTCCCCGAATGACATTAGCTACGTTGATGTAGCTGCGTCTATAGTGGGGATCTTCTTGGCAGAGCTATGTCAGTCAAGGGTGTTTATTTTTCACACCCTGACCAACATAGGTATGCTGACATAACTTAAGTGTAGACCAACCCTGTGTGCACCATTTGGATAGCTCTTCAATCCAATTTTTCCCATCTAGGGAAAGTACATGTATCATGGTAGCATAAATACTAATGCAGATCTTCACCTCAAATTAATATGAAACTGTTGTGTATCCAAATATTTTTTCTGAACAAGTCATTCACTTACAATGCTTTCTGTAAGTCATTTTACTGCTTATTTACATTACAGAAATAGTTTTTACCTTGCAGTTGCCAAGACATACTCATAACGTGGGGACCAGGTCACTGCCAGCACTTCCTGTCTGTGACCTACAAATATGGTACATGAGAAATTTCAGGTAACTTATTGATAAACAACTTTTCTGATATAAGTAAATGTGGCATATATCCAAGAGAAATGCAATTGGACTAATCTACCAATTTACAACTACCATTAATATTCTGGTATTAATTTGGAGTGAATGGGAAGAGCGTTCCTTATTTTGGATTATTGGCAGTTTACTTCCCCCCCTTTGCTTGGCTAAGAATGCATTCAGCTGAAAGTGATATGAAGAATACTAAGTTTACCTCTCTATACTTTACTAGCCCAGATGCCTTTATCGTTCTACAGCTATGCTAACAAAAGAATAGCACATACAACTACTAAGACTACTCCATTACTGTTACAGAAGTTTTAACAGTAACATTTAAAATACACAGATGTAAAAACAATTTAGTGTCAGTTTTATTGAGCTATTTTAAAAATATATATATATTTATTCAGCAGATCCTCATTCCTATATCTAGATTATTTATTCTACTCCTTACCAACAGCCCAAATTTGAAGGTAAGTGTGTGTTTTCTTTTGGTCTCTTAGCAGCACGAGGACCATGCACTGCTTATTGGATGGTGATACAATATATTTAACAACAAACTATAGTGGTTTTTGAGCTCTTCAAAAAGATGTCTAGAAAAACTATAAACAATAGAAAGTGTTAGGCAATCTAAATATAGTGTTGCTACTGTGCCACTTATAATAAAATGGGCATAAGCGAGCAAATCTGATTGATAAAAAGTAGGTTAGATCACATACATACATCTTTGGCCTTATAACCAAGAGTTATTTACACTACTTCCTTCTGTACATCTACATCAGTACACTCAACATTTCATCATTTATATTTCCCTTGTAGTGTTTCATTTCAATTACCCACAACCAACTCAAACACCGAGGCTTTCCAGAGCATAAAGCCCTAGAGCCTCCTAACATTATTAGATAAACGTAAAGGTTCAGATACTGCTGTCCTTATGTCGAGTAATATCTTACTCCCCGAGCCTCTGAAGCCAAAGAGTCTTAAAGAAAGTCCATCCATACAAAATCTCTGGAGGATATTTTGTTTAAAAATATTAAGATTTTGTAAAAAACGCGCACACACACCACACACAATCTTCATGAACACAAGTACAACATTCCTGGAGATCCTAAAACAACATTTAAACAAATATTAATCTATAGTGAGTCAGAACTTCAGATGGTGTAAATTGGTACAACTGTGTTGATTTTCACCAGCGGAAAACTGGGCCCATTATTCTCAAGGGATGCTATATGGAATTTGCCTTTTTATAGAACGATAAATGAAAAAGCTCCCCAGAAGTCTCTTAAAACTTTCAAATCTTAAAAATTCATAATTTGTTTTTAAAAATAAACTACATTAACTAGATAACACTTTTGCTCAGCTAATTAATATTTTGATTGAGGAAGTCTGAATTATGCAAACAAAAATACCTTTGAACATGCTTTTTTAATTTTAAACGTATAAACTAATTTTCCTCCAAACTGGTTTCACACATGCCTAGTAACACTAGAATGATTTAAGACTAACTAGTACTCCAGAAATCAGGGTTTATTATGAAAATTCCCAAAGACCTAAAATGATAGCTGTTCCTTAATTAATATTTGTGTTCTCCAATTCAGTAGCACTAGAATAATACAAAGAAGAACCTTTCTCACTGTGTAATTTTCACAACTGGTACTAAACACATCAGTCACGTTACTTACAAAGAACACATTGTTTATAGTGTTTCTTTACACTGGCTGGATTGTGTTTCTTTACACTGGCTGGTTTACTTAAAGTAGTTACTGTTTAAAAATTATGTTTCAGGCTAAAAAGTACCCTGCAGAATTTGAGAACAGGATCCAGACTTCAAGTCACAAAGCTGTACTTCGGGGCTTTTGGTACCAACTGTAACAAGAAAAACAAGACAACGTAAAAAAAAACAACTCTTAACAAGGAATAAAAACTCTACCAAGTCTTACTACAAAGATATAAAGAAACTATCAGCTTCATAAGATTTCCCACACATTTGAACTGATCTAATTTCCAAACAGATTTTAAAAATGTATTGCAACTACAACAGATTTATATTTTCAAAGTCTCTGCATACAATTCTACTGAATTCCTCACATTAACAATAGAATCATAGAATATCAGGGTTGGAAGGGATCTCAGGAGGTCATCTAGTCCAACCCCCTGCTCAAAGCAGGACCAATCCCCAACTAGATCTTTATTAAACTATATTTAAAAGGTTGTTGGGGAGGAGTTCTCAGACTTCCTTTGTGACAACAAAAATTACTATATGACCCCAGAAGGAGGGACCAAAGCCTGAGCCCTGCTGCCCCAGGCAGGGTGACCAAAGCCAAAACCTAAGGGCTTAAGCCCCAGGCAGGAAGCCTATAACCTGAGACCTGCTGCTCAGGGAAGTCCTCAGGCTTTGGCTTTGGACCCAGGCCCTAGCAAGTCTAATCCAGCCCTGGCGACGCCATTAAAACAGAGTTGGACCCACTTTGGGATCCCGATCCACAATTTGAGAACCGCTGTTGTAGGGGAAACAAAGCTGCTCTTTTTTTCTAGATTTATGAATTAAGAATATGGTCCCTTCTCTAAATATTTTTTTTAAATAGACAACAGTAAATACATACAGTATACAGTACACATTCAACTCCAATAGATCTCAAGACCAAATACTGATTTAGCTGCATTAATCTGAGTAGTGTGTATTTAGAAACACTAGCTGAACCATGCAAACTCGGTGGTGTGTGGTTTGCTCATTTCAGAAATGCAAAGGAAGTACTTTCCTTTCATAAACAGTATAAGCCCAAATGAAGTGATTTTATTTAGAAAATGACCTCAGTTTTACGAAGTCTTTGATATCACTTGCCAGAAAATAGTCAAGACTGTTGCATATGAAAAAAGTCATTGTAGAAAAAGGAAAATGCTAATTTTGAATCATTTGCCTCTTACTACAACCCAAACATAGATAGGAACTTCTTAAAAATGTATACATACCTGCTATTAAGCAATGCTTGGTAGCAACTGGAGACATATGATGGCTATAAACTGTTCCCTCAAAATTAAACACATCTGCAGGCTGGTAATTAAAACAAAACATCTATCAGCTTTGCCCCTTGATTAATATCATAATGAGAATTTGTATCTCTTCTTTAAAATTGGTTCAGCATTTTTAAAGTTAGAGTTACTGTTTACAAGGCTGCTCACATGCCACCTCTCTACTGATTAAGTGCCTAATCATGCAAATAGTCATGCTACCAGAACTAGACATCCAGCACTGGCAGGGCATAGAGCTTTTTTAACATGGCAAAGAGTAATAAAGCCTGGAAGAAAATGCTCTGATTACAGTGACAAGGGGAAAAAAAAGGAGGAAGGAAAAGAAGCAAGGAAGAAGGTGGGGTATGTAAATGGAAATCAGTGATAACAGGAAAGAAAGAAAATGATGTATACTAGAGCTAATACTTATTCATCACATACAAAACATGCTACCTCAAAAAAAAGGATATAAACAAAAGGTAGAAGCAATAGCGAGTGGCTAAATTGAAGTGTCACCTTATATAAAATAAGGGACCATATTTAAAGTTATTTTTCCCCATTTTCTGTTGGGACTCAAGCGGTATGTTGACAAGTTCCTGAAATCAACTCTGTTTTATTGCTTACATACTAAAACGTAAGCCATTAAATACACATTATGTGCAAGAAGACTGATAATATTAGTGTTAAGAACTTTGACTTCTCAAATTTCCTCACCAGTGTACTCAATTTTTCAACATCAATGTTGCATTATTGTCACGGTTCCCAAACTGTTTAGTACTGTCTCCCCCTTATTGATATTTTAAAGCTTGGTGGCTCCTCACAACCAAATATATATATTTTTAAACTGACTCAGGACACTAGATTCAAGAAGGACATGAGTTTGGACCGTTTTGTGATTTTATTCAACTACATACTGTTCATTACAAAATCTGATCTGGGTTTTTAAAACTATAATTTTAAAATGTGGATTTTTTGGCGTGACCAGACACAGCCTAAGATTTTATTTGGAAGAACCGACCTGTTTCAAACTACATAGCTGTGCAATGTTTTATTGAATCTCTGATAGCGCCAGTCATAAGTCACTTTAAAAATTTAAATTACTTCTGTGTTTAGAGTAACAGCCGTGTTAGTCTGTATTCGCAAAATGATAGATTTCCACTCCACCTATTTCCCCTTGTTTTTTCCTACCCTCCCTCCCCCCCCGACGTTCTTGTTAAACCCTGGATTTGTGCTGGAAATGGCCCACCTTGATTATCATACACATTGTAAGGAGAGTGATCACTTTAGATACGCTATTACCCGCAGGAGAGTGGGGTGGGGGGAGAGAAAACCTTTTGTAGTGGTAAACACCCATTTTTTCATGCTTTGTGTGTATAAAAAGATCTTCTATACTTTCCACAGTATGCATCCGATGAAGTGAGCTGTAGCTCACGAAAGCTTATGCTCAAATAAATTGGTTAGTCTCTAAGGTGCCACAAGTACTCCTTTTCTTTCTGTGTTTAGTTTTCACAAAAATGGTTGCTGACTACTTAAGACTCAGAGAAAACTGGAAGTGAAAGGAAGCAGCACTTTCATAGCTATATCATGGAGTTCTTTGCGCTCTGTCAACAGAAATGCAGAATTCCTGGTTTGTAAGATTTGAAAACTTGGTGTTCTGAATAAGATCTCTTGACAATTCTAATATATATATATATATTTTTTTATGATGAGATAATAAAGGTTGGAATGGATTCAAATGTTAGTGAGAAGGGGTTTCAAATCCAGTTGGTATCCAGAGATTCATGTTCGATTCTGAGATTCATGTTCGATTCTAGGACAATATTCATCAAAATAGGAATATTATCCAAACAAAAAACCTGGCAGTCCCTTCTGACCCTATGATTCCATAAATGAGTTAATATTTGGTCTTTAATAGCATTTTTATCAATTTTACTCTATTCAAAAGTTTGATAACACTGGAAATATCTCAGTAATTTCCTTTTCAACATGGCACCGCCAAAGGCAGCACCTGTTCATGAATCTCCCAATTTTATGTTTCATATCGATTATATTTGTATTCCTACCTTGAAGTGTTAGGTTCACGGCATTAAATTTGCCCGATTTATCCACCGGGGAAGCTAATGTAGTCAAGAAATCCATATTACTCATGTTATCTGCAAGATCTGTTTCCCAAGAAGAAAAATTCTGATTTTGCCAGGCAATTCAAAGATGCATTGTAACACTTTCTCATGTGATAACCACCTGACTTTACTGTGAAACAGAAGCTGAGTATGGTTACAGCCTATCTCTTTGCACACTAAAACACTGTGTATTCACTACCTGGGATTTTATAAAATTACCACCACCACTGAAGGCCTCATGTACTTCAGGTCGCAACTTTTTCGATGCTGATGCCTGGTGATGAATTGTTCTGTGTGTCCAAATGATCTCACATCTTTACTCGTGCTGCAACCCCACTGTTCTTCCTGGCCATGGCTGCTGCCTCACCACACAGCACAGCACACCTACAGTGTCCAATTAACACCTTCATCCACCATGAATTTATGAAGGATCTTGAATATTTCCTCACTGGTTGTTCAGGGTTTCTTTGCAAAATAAAAATTCTTCAACTATTGAACTTGCTTTGACAAATCTCACACAACACAGAAACTGAGCCAGGTTAGTTATGTTTGTGGATTCATCAAGCTGTGGTGAAAAATATTGACTTCTTCACTTGTTCTACCAACTGGTCCTGAACATTTTCTGCATGGTCATCAGTGCATCAATGGATGGGATTATTTGACATGGGAATGGTTTTCAGTGCCATGACTGCTTGCTTCCCAATCTTAATTCTTCATATGGCTATTGCTGGTGGAAGTGTAAAGGTCTTGCCAATGGTGTGTGTCTGCTTGCATTCTGTAATTCACATGGCTATAACATAAGATGAGCCTAAGGCTTTTGAAGAACAGAACAGTTGCTTCTTTAGACATGACTTGTTTTTATTCTTCTTGTTTCTGAAGGAAAAGTTTGCGGCTCTTGTTTACTAATTCCAGGGATTTCGTTTCTAAATGTCTCTGTAGTTTCCCTGGCCTCATACTTTCACTTACTAACACTTGAAAACAAAAGGCCACATTGTGCCTGTAGACTTTTTGCAGTAATACTGAGACACAAATTCCAAACAGAGTAACTATCGTCATATTATTTACTTTTCTTCCTTTTCTGTTTAACTTTATTAAGCTCAGTGGTTTGAGCACTGGCCTGCTAAACCCAGGGTTGTGAGTTCACTCCTTGAGGGGGCCATTTAGGGATATGGGGCAAAAATCTGTTGGATGATTTAATTGGGGATTGGTCCTGCTTTAAGCAGGGGGTTGGACTAGATGATCTCCTGAGGTCCCTTCCACCCCTGATATTCTATGATTCTATGTGAGGGTTTATGTTTTGTGGCACATTGTGTCCTTCTGACATTTTAACAATTACGTAGTACAATAGATCAAATTTGGGACTTTATCTTTAACGCTGTGGACAATATCAGGTAACTTCATTTTTATGTTTCCTTTTTAAAAAAATAGTTTAAAATTGCTTTTTATTTTAAAGAATGAACTCAAATCTTTTGGAAATATACCATTTTGTGGCAGTTTGTACACCAATTGTCCTTTATATACAGTTTACATTTTGTAACTCATTCTAAGAGGATGGTCTAAACTCTAAAGCAGTATCTGGTTCTTGCTAAGCATGCAACACGCTTTGAACAACAAAAAGGCAACACTACCTCCTCCCTCCACAAAAACATAATTATACATCTCAACGTTACACTTTTAAAAGGGCTTAGAAAATAATAATTTTCACATCTAATTTAATCAGAGAAATATTGTGTATTGTGTCCTTGGGATGATAGAATCTCCAGCTTTCATGATCTTCTCACCTTAATGCATGAGGCAATATTCTTGGCAAACAAACAATGTCAATGTAAGTCCACTGATATATGAAATAAAAGAGATTTACCACAGTCCAAAATTCATATATCAGCTATTAGAGGACAGAATTTAGTAGCAGATAAATGGCCTGTAATGTGTAAACTTTATTTAAGTCATGACAAATTGATTAGTGTTTCTCCTCATGGTTTCCCTCGTTCTGCTGTTTTAAAAGCTTATCAAATCCTCTCACACAAATATGGCAAAAGGTTTAAGCCATCAAAGACATTGTTCATATTGTTTATAACAGATGTGCTCCCACAGCACACTACCAGTGCTATGCAAATATGATAACCAACAATTAATATTGTTCAATAGGTGTTCAACACCTCACAAGAAATAAACTATGCTCTCAGACCAGTTGTTGCTGGACAAATGTACATAGCACAAAATCTACCATCATAAGTCACGTTTTTATTGGCAGGCTACGCAGAAAAAACAAGCAATCAAAGACTCTGAACTACCATATTATTGGTAACATAGAAGTGGTTTCTAAAACAAGGCCGAAGCATGCTGTCAAATATGGGAGTGCCTAAACTTCTGCCCTCGTATTCTGTGCCTACAATTTTGAATGCTACCAACCTGACATTTTTCATCCTTCAAAATGCTGAGTGAGTCAACTCTCAGAGTTCAATGGGAATTTCAGGCACACTACCCGCAAAACAGGTGCTCAGCATATCACAAGGTCGAGCACATAGGAAGTTTGGAAAATAATTAGTAATTACTTACTTGTAATGTGTTTGTATCCCATATTTTCAATGTTTTATCAAATGAGCTTGATGTAAACATGCCAGTGTCACGAGGATACCATTGAACCGTCTCTACGCTGAATTTGTGTACATCAGGATGGCTCCTATAATACAATAATAGAATTGCACTGGTTAGGGTCAGCAGCGTCTTTTTGATTTGATACTAGCTGAGCAAGGTGGGGGGGGTTTAATTATTTTTACTTTTTTTTTTTTTTAAACTACTGGGTCTAAATTTTCAAAAGTAACCAGTAATTTTGGTGCCTCAATTTCTGAGGGACCAATTTGAGCCCCCTTGGGGCTGATTTTCAGAAAGTGCTGATCATCTGCCCTCTCAAAACCAAGCTATTTTGAGGTGTAGTCACGCTTCCAAAAGATAGGCTTTGACATTTAAATATTATTGTAGGGCCCGACTCTACAAATAGTTATGACCCTGTTGAGTTCTGCTGACTTAAATGGGATTCCATATTATATGCACAAGCTTTCAGGATTGGGGTCTTTAACAATTATTTGCTAATGGTAATGTTAAATCACAACTATGACAGAAGTGGTCAGATCAACACTTAAGGGAATTTAGATAGTATCTTGCAACACAGGTCCTGTTTGATTTAATCTTCACAGGCTCCTAAATACACTTCAGTTTAATGATATCTTGAGAACCAGTGAACTATTTAAGGTAGCATATCAGAATCTCAAGTGGTTGTTGAACTACAATTGGATCTCTGCTCCTATTAGTATCCTTATCGCTGAAAGTTTCATTCCTTTTAGATGTTCCCAAAGCTCACTGTCATTACAAGTGAACTCAGGAAAATAAAATGGCAGGGATCGAGACTTAGAAAAATGGTGAAGAGATAGTGAGCTTCAGGACTCTAGGATACTCTCCATCAAGCCCACATGCAGATGTATCATGGTGTTACAACACAGAGGAGAATATCTGCCTTTGCTGTAGATACAGCACAGAATCACCCAGTGGAGCTGTACAGACAAGTTAAGTGTATAAGCAAATATATAAGTTATAGGAGCAGCTGTTTGCGGTTGGTTGGTTTTTTTAAATGTTGACTACTCTAGTTGTTTAATTAATAATACGTGTAAAAATAGGAATCTGCTGACGATACAGTTGCATAAAACTTTTCATCCAAGGAGTTCAATACTGTAAAACATTGGATATTTTTACAGAGAGGAAAATTGGAGGCACACTGAGATTGTGTGTTGCCTAGGACCTCACAAAGCATCAATGGCAGAGTCAGCAATAGAAGCCCAGTCTCCCGATTCACAATCCTATTTTAACCAGTAGAAAACACTGCTTTTCCTCTTTTCAACTCACAGATTCCTTATTCTGACTCTCTCATATTATCCCACACTGAAATTGACCATGTAGATGTACAGTGCTATGTCTAGTCATAAGGACAATAATGTACACTTCACTCTCTTCAGTAGACTGGATAGAATCTAAAGTAATATGCAGCTAGTTACTGATGAAGTTAGAAAAACTATTTTGAGGATTCTAGACATAAATGATCTATGCAGTGGTAATCTGGAATTTGCCAAGGGCATGCTTGAATGAGGACAGTCCTAATCTTACTGGCAAAAGACAGGCCATAAGTTTATTCACAATTCATTCGACAATATTACAGCTAAAACTGACAGAGAACTCAGTATATACAGGGTTATCCTATAGTAGAATTAATGCATCTGTATCACCTCCTCACAAGTCCCCAAAGCTCTTACAGATTTGTCAGACTTTCCCTGCAGCTCATAAGGATTTGTTCTTTTTATGTATTTATTGTTCTAGCAGAAGCTGCCCATCCTTGAACTTAGGAAGTTGGGCCTCCCACAAGCAAAGACTTTTTCTGTGTCTCATGATAGTTTGGCCTTCCCTGCAGGAGTTAGTGGTTACCCTTTCCTCTTATTCTCATGGCTGGATGCTTAAGGCCTAGAAGCTGGGTATGTGAACCTGATACAGCATCGACTACTGCAGCAAAGATTACCTACAACAGTAGAAAGGCCTAAATTGTGACAGGAAAAGAAAAAGATGATAGAGCATGCATCAAAATGTGGTACAGGAACAGAAGATACTGTTGTTAACCTGCAGTCTTTAGGTCTCCATCCTTATGGGTGTCTGGACAAACTAAATCATAATTAACGTTACGTGAATAAATCCCAGAATTGGAACAAACTCTTAAACAAACATAACAAAATTACATAATACACACTTAACAACATAAAACATTAAATAAGAGAATAATTCTGGATCTAGCCTTGAATGAGGCCATCATTATGCTTCTTAGTGTATATACAAAATATATTATACTTTTAACTGTGTGTCATCAATGTTTTTTTATCAAAGTTGTCTGGTCCTATGTGTGATTAGCGTTTTATGCAGGAAATAAAATACTAATGTGCAACAATTTGTGAATTCAATGCAAAATATATAATAAAATTGCTAAAAATATTTCATAGTGATTTTTTTTTTTAAAAAAAAGGTACATACCTGCCCACAGAACAAATTGCTTTACATGTATAACATGGTTTTCTGCTGAAGTTTTCAAGGTCATAAAGTACAATAACACCATCTGACCCACCTGATAACATGCTGTAAGAACAAACATAACATAGCTTTTAGATATCTTACACTCACAATCTGTTCAAAGTAAATCAACGTTCACATTCAGCAAAGTAATTGGTTTTAATCATAAATGATTAAAACTAAGTATTCATTCTATAAAATATACCTGACAATAAAACAGCACAATTTACTTACTATCTTCCCTCAACAGGTTCAATATCCAGGGTGTTAACACCAGTTCCATGGATTCTTTCCACATCTCTATCTTTGTTTAACTCCAAGCTTAGTACCCTTTAAAAAAATAGAATATATCAAACCATGAATGGTGAGAATCAGGAAGTACTCGAATTTTACCTTTTCTTTAGTACAACAAAAAAAAGTCAAATTTGTGATTCTCAGAATTCTTCTTTGACTCAACACATTCAATTATTACCCTTTACATTTTAAAGTACATTGTCAGACTTGATGTAGAACTAAAAATAAGAAAAAGATTAAAGTGTGACTGGCGGAAATTACCACACTGTACATTATTTGGAGGTGGAGGACTACAAATCTTTATTAAGCAATTAATATCAACAAATGTATGAATGAAAATTGGCATATAATGCAAGAATCAGAAATTTAAAAAAGTGAAATGAAATGTTTATATACTTTTAGATCTACTATATTCACAAATAAGTTAGTCTTCATCCCAACCATGATCATCTGGTAGTTTATTTAATAAAACTAAGGACACCTAGTGGAAAAACCAGTTATTTTAGTAAATGAAGTGATTTATGTTATACAGAATGAATAACAAACCACCACCACATGATAATTACAACAAAGTTAAATGTTTTCCACATCTTTTGTATCACTAAGAAAGAAACAAAAAATTACACTCTAATGAAAAGTATTTTTGATAAAAATTCAAATTCAGCTAACGAAACATCAGAGCATTCACTGTGTTATGGACAAGATTTGTTTTTACTCCTAATTTGAATGATCATTCAAATCCAGCTATTGTTGTAAGGGTCAATCAAGCAATTTCCTACTGTTGTAACTGACAAGAATAACTACAATTTTCCTCAACATCTGATCAAAGATAAGAAAGATACCTGGTCTTAAAAAAATTCAAATTAAGCAAAAAGTGTTTTGCTGAGATCACAACGTGCTCTGAGTTTATTATCCAGGATAAAACAGCACCAAAAAACAAAACAAAACAACCAAACACTCAGCATTTTATAGATTCAGAAAAATACTAAGTAGTCATTTGACCAAAAGACACATGAATAGCAAAATGAAAATTCATGAGAAAAATATGGTGAGTTTATAGTTGTGAGTTTATTAAAATATTTCTACGACAAAGTCCTTTCACATTTTAATTGATGTCTTCTAACTACTGCAAAGTGAAACTAGCTTTGTAGCTTTGAACAAGCTAGGTCAGTGTTTCCCAAACTTGGTACAAGAATAGTAGCTGCGGGAAGCAGCAGCCAGTACGTCCCTCAGCCCGCGCTGCTTCCCACTGCCCTCATTGGCCTGCAGCAGCGAACCGTGTCTCATGGGAGCCGCGACTGGCCGAATCTGCGGATGCAGCAAGTAAACAAACCGGCCCAGCCCGCCAGGGGCTTTCTCTGAACAAGAGGCGTCACAAGTTTGGGAAACACTGAGCTAGGTGATAACCAGAAACACCTTTTGATCAGTTCTTTGGTTTGATAACTTAAGGCTCCTCTGAGTTATGAAAATGTGATATACACCAAAACCCAGCTCCTTAAGCGGAGTTAGAAATCCTGCTTCCATGTTATGAAAAATCTACACTCTACTGAGCATCCCTTTTGCCAACAAAAGTACAGGAAAAAAAATCACAATTTATACGCACAAAATGAACATCCAGTTTTCAAGGTGCTGAATGCCTCCTGCAGTTGAAGTCAAAGGGAGCTGGAAGTGCTCAGCACTTTCACAGATTGGCACTTAAGAGATTGCTGCTAAAGTCAAAATTTAACTACTGTTCTTATACCAAAAGTTATTTATTCTCTATGGCAATCTGGAACTAAATGCTGTGCTAAAGGCTAGGGTGTAGCAGATTGGATATCTTCCTGCAGCTTAATTTAAATTAAAAAAATTATGGTTCTGTTGACTTAAATACAGAAAATGAATAATACAATCAGATGTTTGGACTGACAATGCATAACTGCATCATAGAGATTCTTGGGAGAAGCTGAAGATTTTGGCAGCTGGGTAGGCGTACACCTGAGACTCCTGGTACCTGGAGAAGTGCAGGATCCAGTTTGGGATTATGGAAAGCACATAACAGACCGTGAAATCTGGTCTTTCATGTGCTTTTACCCTATACTATACAGATTTCATGGGGGAGACCACCATTTCTCAAATTGGGGGTCCTGACCCAAAAAGGAGCTTGGGGGGGGGGTCACAAGGTTATTTTAAGGCGGGGGGCACAGTATTGGTACACTTACTTCTCCACTGCCTTGAGAGCTGGGTGGCCGTAGAGCCGCAGCTGTTGGCCAGGCGCCCTGCTCTGAAGGCAGCACCCTGCCAGCAGCAGTGCAGAAGAAGGGCAATACCATACCATGCCACCCTTGCTTCTGCATTGCTGCTTTCAGAGCTGGGCGGCCAGAGAGTGGTGGCTGCTCACTGAGGGCCCAACTCTGCAGGCAGCAGCGCAGAAGTAAGGGTGACAATACCATACTATGCCATCCGTATTTCTGTGTTGCTGCTGGCGGTGGCACTGCCTTCAGAACTGGGCAGCTGGAGAGCAGCAGCTGCTGGCCAGGAGCCCAGCTATGAAGGCAGCGCCGCCAGCAGCAGCACAGAAGTAAGGGTAGCAGTACTTACAACACTCCCTACAATAACCTTGTGACCCTCACCTCAACTCCTTTTTGGCTCAGGACCCCTACAATTACAATACTGTGAAATTTCAGATTTAAATAGCTGAAATCATGAAATTTACAATTTAAAAACTCCTATGACTGTGAAATTGATCGAAATGGATGTGAATTTGGTAGGGCCCTAATTATGGGATAATGAGATTAGCTGAATATTTCTGCTAAAATCATTCTCAATGAACCTTTCAACAATATTGACATATACACTGTCATCTTTAAGTTTCACAATTAACATCTGATATAAAATGAGAAATTCATGCCTCCTATTTATTGTTTTAATCTGACTGCAGATTCACGAGGCTTTAGTGTACTGGTTTTCACACAGGTCTAGTCTACACTAGAAAAGGTTCTCTGTTATAGCTACATAAAGAGAATTATGACTTGAGAAGACCTGCAAGGCCCAACCATAACTCATAGTGATTTATTTCTGAAATGTTCAGAAAGGAGAAGCCACATAAAATTCTTTTAGCTATGAATCTCAAGATGTTCACATGAGTGTCTGTAAACAGGTATAAAGGATGTAGAACAAATACACTTTTAGGGGGATGAAATAAGCACGCCATGTTAATGTGTTCATTGTGTAGGATGCAACTTAACATTTACAATGTCATGGCGTTTACTGTAGCATGTTACAACACAATGCTACGTTTTGGCAAAAACAGTATCCTACTACCAGGCATTGCAGTGGCTGCTGTGGTGAAATGTACTGCACTAAAGCCAAACTACTTTGCATGCAGCAGGTAGTGGAAGGTAGGTAGCAAGCATAAGTCTGACACACATTAGGGGTAGAGCATAATTCTTGTTTCAGAAGCATAGCCGTGTTAGTCTGTATCAGAAAAAACAATGAGGAGTCTTTGTGGCACCTCAGAGACAAACAAATTTATTTGGGCGAATGCCACAAGGACTCCACGCCATAATTCTTGTGTAACTTTAAGAGATTACATAATGCAGTTAAAGTGTACAACTGAAATGAAAACAGCCAGTAATATACATAACTTTGCCCAGCCTAAGGCCAACAGGCTAGATCACTACTTCCATGTAGTCAACTCTCATTTGATCACAAGTCTTAGTAATAGTTGTAATTTTTTTTATTAAAGCCCCAGCTCCATGAACTGTGTGATTACATGAGAATCTCAGTTTTCATTTTCTAAGAAGGAAGTTTCCAGCCTTAGTGGTTACAGAAAAAAGTTTAGACATGTGAAACGAAACATGAAAATTCAGAAGGTAAGTAAAAAGAACCCAACATACATGCTTTTAAATACCTTATTTCTGGACTTACATGATTGTTGGCTGCTTGGGGTTGGCATTACTACTACCACCTCTAGACAGAACACCTATTCTAGAGTGACTACGCTCAGAAACAATGTTGTACATAATCGCACCAATTAATATAATCCTCCACAGGGGAAGAAATTATTTAATAAACAGCCTGTCCTCTTTCTGAGTTTTTCTTCAAACAAATGTTGGTATGGAGAGCTGCCAGAAAAACTTAATTGGAAATGGAGGGGATAGGGGAAAGCAGAGAGGAAGTAGGAATAGAGAGGAAGAGCGTGACCCTTGGTTTCATCCACTGACACTCAAACTGGAAAGGAGGGTAAAATACAGACAGACGAGCCCGACATGTCATGCCCAGGAGCTCGCGGTGACAGGGCACTTTCAGGGCCTGCCATCCCAGTCCAAGTGAAAAGCTCTGGCCCAGCAGGGCCCTGTCGATGTCTGGTGCTGGGCAAAGGACGACACTGGTGTAAAGACATCATCCCCTACCGGGGTGGAGACACTGAGGCACGGCCCCGTCACCCGGCCCTGCCTCCCGCATCCAGTGGGGGCAACACAGTGCGCGGGGGTGAAGTTGGGCAACTCTGCCGCCGCCTCACTATCCGCGACGCAGCTGTGGCCCAGGGGCCGCGCAGGGTCCTGGATCCCCAGGGCGAGTGAGGTCTGAGGCGTGGGCAGGCACGTGCAGACCGCGGACGAGGAGAGGGGAATCCCCGGACTTCTCCGGGGCCTGCTCTGCCCGGGCGAGGCCATGGGCCCGGACCGCACAGTCCGAGGCCAGCCCCAGCCGAGAAGAGACTGAACTGCAGAAGCCGAAAGACTCTTTACCTCCGGGTGGACTCAGCCCGGCGCAACCGCAGCGGATCGTCGAGACCGGCCTGGCGGGCCGAAATGAAAGCCAACATGGCGCGACCAAGCCAGTACCAGATCAAGGAGCGCCGCCATGTTGTGAATAGGGTGACGCCGATTGGCTCAGTGCGAAACGACCGTGTCCAATGGAGAGCGCCGTTATTGAATAGTCGACAGCCTGCCTCTGGGCAGGAGCAACAGAGGTGGGGGCAGGGCACGCACACGGCGCTCACAGTGTTGGGGGCGCGGCCGAAGCGGAAGGGGCGGGGCACGTACACGGCGTTTGCAGCGTTAGGGGCGTAGCCTAGATGGAAGGGGCGGGGCACGTACACGGCGCTCACCGCGTTGGGGGCGTAGCCCAGATGGAAGGGGCGGGGCACGTACACGGCGCTCACAACATTGGAGGCGCGGCCGAAGCGGAAGGGGCGTGGCAGCTACTCGGCGTTCTCGGGCTCCGGGCAGGGGCCGGGCGCGTGAAGCCGCTGGCCTCGCCCCTGGGCGGCGGGGGTGTTTGCGGCAGAGCGCGCGGGTGTCGCCCGGCCTGACTCGCCCGGCAGGATGGGCGGGCCCTGGCGGCTCCTGCGCGCCCTGCGGCTCCGGCTCCTCGGGCCACAGAAGGAGCATGTGGGCAGCGACCAGTTTGGAAACAAATACTACAAGATCCCCAAACACCAAACCTGGGCTGGTAAGAGCGGGGGGAGGGGCTGCCACGGACTCCGCAGCCTTCTCTTGGGAGCTTGCTGGGCCTGCCTCTGGCAGAGCCTCCGCGGCTCAGCCCACCTATAGCGTATCTCCTCACCGTCTGCACCCGGGCCCCCAGCCTCACCCCAGGCACTTCTGACCCCACCCCTCCTGCCCCCAGCCTTCTTCCCTAAACCCACCCCTCCTGCCGCCATGGCACGCCACTCCCTCTGCCCCGAGCCCCCCCCAGGACCTCCCTACCGCTAGGCTCCCCTCATTGTTTCCTATATCCGACTCTCTTCTGTGCTGTACAGGTTCTTCTACCGTGCTCCTCATCCTGGTGCCTGAGCGCCTTCCAGTAGTTCATTAAGCAGCATGACCGCACGTCTGTCACGTTTCAGAGTAACAGCCGTGTTAGTCTGTATTCGCAAAAAGAAAAGGAGGACTTGTGGCACCTTAGAGACTAACCAATTTATTTGAGCATGAGCTTTCGTGAGCTACAGCTCACTCACGAAAGCTCATGCTCAAATAAATTGGTTAGTCTCTAAGGTGCCACAAGTCCTCCTTTTCTTTTTGCGTCTGTCACATGTTTGTTCTCTCATCTTCTCCCCAGGGTAGACCTGGGTGCAGCACAGGGTCTTGTGGTCGGAGTTTTAAACAAGTAGATATACGTATGGCTGTGTGTTTATATTCAAGAAGGCAGTGTCAAGGAAATGAGCTAGACACTTGGAATGGAAAGTGGTGAGATTTGTGATGGCCTTAGTTCTCAGGGGACTTCATTCCACAGCCGAGAGGAACTTTATTCTTACCATTGAGGGTTCCGTTGGGCCAGAGGAGTGAAGGGGTCAACATGGTCTTTGTCACAGAGCTTTAGACCGTGTTTCATATATCCTGAGCGGTGGGCCCAGGACATGGAGAACTTTGAAGATGATGACTGAAACCTTGAACTTTCCCCCAGGATACCCACTACTCCTGCTCATAGCCTCCTTTGCTTACATCCTATCCCTTGCCAGTTTCATCTTCCAGAGTACCCATCCTTACAACTTCTCAATACTTCCTCTCTGGCAGCCTCTCCACCAGCCTGTGTGGTCCACCATGTTCATAGGTTTACCCTTTCCTAGACTATTTCCTGCCCAATCATTTAATCTCCATGTACATTGCCCAGAAATTCCCTTGCATGTCTTTTGTGTGTTTCTCCTGCTTCCCCTTAGTTCCCTATACGCCCTCACATTCTCTATAGTTTTCTTTAGGCTCCTAACCCAAGTACTTTTTTTCTTCCTTCAACTTTGCCCTACTGTTTCTTCTCAGATCAGGTAGCAGCATACTGTATTTTAGGGGCTGTTTTGATAAAGACAAAAATGGGGAGGATGTGCCTCTGAACTAAATTTGTTTAATATCACTGTAATATTGAATCAGGTTCTTCACTTGTGGTCTAGTCTGACTCTGTTCCCTGTCCTGGTGCTTTCTACTACTGTTGTTTTAAATAATGCAATTTCCATTGGGGGAGGAGGCGGGAATTTGAGAAGATTTACATTAACAATAGTAGAGGGCTATATATAAAAAGAAAATAAGTGAACCAGGCTTGAAAGATTAACAAGATTCATTTCATAATACTTTATATATATACAGGGTACCCCCTGTATACATTGGGGGTGCGTTCTTGAAAAGGGCGATGGATACCAGGGAATTTTTCCCCATAAGAAATAAAGGAATAAGGGGGGGATGCATTCACAACTTCACCACACTCACCTATGACCATGCTCTTTTTGCCTAAACAGTGTACCTTTTTACAATGACAGGTCATACAGTACACATTTTGCACATAAAACATTGAATAAAATAATGTAGAACCCTACTAACGCCATTCAAACACATAGAACATTTAATTATGTAAATACAGTACTGTAATACAGTATAAAACTGTCAATGCTAAACTTAGGTAGGGGGGTGGCGGGGTTTTCTTGGGCTGGCCTTTTGGTTGCAGAAGTCTTAAAAAGGATTGTATCGACGTCTGCTCTCCTTCATGAATCTTTGAACAACAGATCTCCTTGTAGCAAGCCACTGCATCATTGAGAGCCCTGGAGACTTCGGCAGACTGTTCACAAAAAGAATCACTGCTCTATGATTTCCATCATCTCATCCAGCAATTCAAAAAAACAGGAGAGATTCTTTGTCCTCAGACTCCTGGCTTCCTGCCCTACATCATCGTCCTTGCTTTCTTCAGATATCCGTTGTTGGTCCAGCTCAATCAGTTCTTGATTTGTCAGTTGCTCAGCGTGAGACTCCAACAACTCCTGTACATCTTCCTCCTCCACCTCCTCAAAGCTGACATCCTTCGGCAGCTTGACAATTTCTTGCTTGAGAGCAGGAATGGCATCAAATCCCACAAAGCTGTGGACAGCATCTGGCCATGCATAGCGCCAAGCGCCATTCACACATTGCAAAGTGACCTCTTTCCAACACATGTCAATGTATTCCATGCCATTCAAGATGTTGTAGGACTTCCAAGACTCCTTTACACTGGACTTCACCTACCGTCTCCTTAATCAGCATGGAGAATATCCTCCGTGGGTAATAAGCCTTGAACGTGGCTGGCGGACACAAGTACAGTACTATACTGTACAATAGGGGAATGTGTTCCAATTCACGTCGGTCCCTATCTGTGCAAATGACAGATATGTGGACCAATGTAAATTGGAACACGTTCCCCTATTGATGAGCGACAGATGTCCTAAACAGTGGGTAAGTGAGAAATGTATACCAGGGACCTCCGGTAACCTTTTTCACTCTTTCTATAGTCTGTTAGCTTCCCAGTTAATAATGCACAGGACAATAGGGAAGAGAAACCTTTTTTTTTTAAAATAGGAAAGTGGGCAAGGGTCTAGAACATAAAACTCATTTAAAAAAACACAGATTTAAAATTGACTATTATTTTAAAGTAAGTAAAGATAAACCCACCCATCAGGTGACCTTGGAGCTTTGCTTTCACCTCAATCAAAACAGACTTTTCCAGCAGAAAATTTTTAGGGTATGCATGTAGGTGAAATTCTTGGGGAAACTTACATGAAACTAGCCTGACTTTCTTTGGCCTATTCTCCCTACACTGTATAAACTCTTCCATAAATGCTTCTAATAGTATCTGCTCCTATAGAGTACACCCCACACTTCTTTACAGACCTTAGACTCATTTCTTAAGTTGCACATACCCACATTCCTCAATCCAGGCAACTCATGCAGCTTCTTCTCATCCTTCCCCAGCACATAGTTTTGGATTGTCTAGTTTAGAGTGTGATATAGTATGGTTGGGGTGCCTGGAATGTTCTGTAATTATGTCAAACTAACCTTAATTGTTCCATCAGATTATCTAGCATCCTAATCATTATGGCTTTCTGTAGTCTTTTAAAGTGGGACTAGCTATGAGCCTTAGTAACTAATTTGCCCTGAAAATTGTGTCTGTAGATCACAATGCTAATTTTAGAACAACTTTGTTTTGTGTGAATAATTTTAAATTGCATACTTTTAGCAGCTATTATTGCAAGTAGAAAATGTCTTCAGGCCTTTAGAAAGAGGATCTTAGGGAAGACTAAAATAAACCTTTTTGACTTTGAGAAAACAACAAATGAAAATAATGAAAAAGGATTTGATGGTGGTAGGGACTTGACTTAAAGGAAAGTTGCATTGCAGAAAACCTTCATTCACTCATCTTCCGGTATTATTTATTTGTACTTCAGTTATTTTTGCACCATGCTTTGTTCACAATGTGTTAGGTACTGTCTAGATGAATAGTTAGCTACAGTTCCTCTTCCAGAGGTCTCTTAATCTAAGAAGACTAACAATTAACAGTTAGAGGAGAGGGATACAATGTACAACCAATTTTTAAAAATGGGGAAATATCCCTGCAAGGCTTTCTGACTAACTCTTATTAGTCAAGTGATTTCTTGTAGGAATCAAATAAGTGTCGTGGAGTTTAAGACCAGACGGGACCAGCAGATCATCTAGTCTGATCTCTTGTATATCACAGACCACTAACATCACACACAGCACCCACACACTAAATCCAAACAACTGAAAATAGACCAAAGTACTACAGGACCTGAGAGAGAGAATGCTTGGTGCCACCTCAGAGCCCTGGCCCTCCCTTGACAATTTCTCATCTTGAAAAATCTGAAGAATTAGTTTAGAGATGCGGGTTCCATATATAAAGGGTGACATAGAAAAAAATGCAATGGTGGTTGTGGGAAAAGTGGACAAGTAGGTTGCCAGTACTGGTGGTATTGGCAGAGAAGAGGGAATAATAAGAGTGATGCAATAAGATGACCGATAAGGAGAGAGACAGTGTGGTGAAAGGTTTAAAGATGAGGGGAGGGGCCTGTTGAAAGAACATGAATGGTTTCTTCAAAATATTTTTAAAAAATGAGATCTGCATTTGTGAACATAGCGAGTCTATGTAGTCAGCTGTTCCTATTGCTGTTCTCTTCTTCC